ACCCAAACCACAATCCCAATCCCCACAGAGGCAGAGGCTGCAGCCCAGGCCCTGAGCCCAGCCATCGGTGCTGGTCCCACAGGAGGGCTCATCCCCACATTCCCAGAGGGAGGGAGGGAGGGAGGGGAGCTCTCCCCCGTTCATACCTGCACTGTAGGCTGGATCGGAGCATTTCCCCACGTCGACCGTGACCTCCCAGGGAGAGTCTGGGAAGAAGGTTTTCAGCGCCGGGAGCCGCAGACATTCCTCGGGGCAGGTGCTGCAGTGGCATCCATCGACCACCTCCACCTCCCGAGCGCCCTGCAGGAGCAGGAGCCGCTCCACGTGCAGCCGGGCCGGCTCGCAGCACGACCCCGCGGGGCACGAACGGGGCGCTCCCGGCCACGGCACCTCGGGGCGCCGGACCTGCAGGGCCGGGGGACACAGAGAACAACCTCCAGCATCAGCTCCCCGACACAGCACACCCCCCCCCCGACCTGGAGCTGGCTCAGCGTTTACCCCTCTCTCTCTCTCCCTACCTGCCTGGAGGATGCTGCACCAGCAGTGTCAGGGTGTTCACGGCAGTGGGACAAATGGTAACGAGATTTTTCATGGGAGCACCCACAGAGCTTGTTTCAGTCCCTCTCCAGGGTCTGTTATGCTGGTGGAGATGGGACTTTAGGCAATGTCAGCTCTCCTGGGACAAGGAGAGCACCACAGCCCATGCACAGCCATGGCCCTAAATGCACAGGCTCCTTTGAGTCCCTCCTGGGAGTGACACGTGGCACAATGATATGGGAATGACACAAGCATCTCCACGGCAAGGTGTTCATAATGAAATCACATGTCCTGCCATTTTTGCACAAAGAGGCAGGAAAAGGCCTCTGACCCCTGCAGATGTGGGACAGTGGCTCTCAGGTACAGAAGTGGCTGAAAGAGCTGCTCTGGCTGCTGTGCTGGGGTGGCCAGGAATGCACTTGGATGCTGCCTGGGGCCAGCTGGGCCCCTTGGCTGAGCCACAGCCCTTCCTCTGCCCGAGGTATCCAGCACTGCTGGAGCAATTTCAACTTTCTCACCTGCACAGGCCACTGCTTGTGGCCAGGGGAGGATGAGAGGCTCAATGACAGGTATTTCAGAAGCCAAAAAACAGGTGTTTTTTAAAAAAAATGACAAAACCACAACCCCAGACACCAGCACATGACCCTCACCCACCCCCAAGAGCTCCTGCAGGGACACAAACACGCTGTTCTCACCTTCTTGCTCCTTAGGAAGTCGAGCATGGAGGAGTACCTGAAGAGCCCTGGGAGGCCGGGGTGGAGGGGGCTGATCCGCTGGGAGGGGCAGCTGGAGCGGCACTTCCCGACGTCCACGCTGACGGGACTGCCGGAGACATCTGAGGAACAGGAGCCTCCAGAGGGTCACCACTGACTCCTCACCCTAACCCTAACCCTAACCCTAACACTAACCCTAACCCACCCATCCCCTGAGGTGCTGGGGAGGCCCAAGCTCAGAGAAGGGCCGAGCACCACACAGACACTAACACAAAGACATGACCCACTCCTGGGAATTCTCCCTGAGACAGAGAGATTCCCTCAGCCTGAGCACAGGTGGGAATTCACTGCAGTCACAGTGTTTGCAGACCAGAGGAAAACATCTCCTATTAGACTGGTCAGTGGACAAAGACTAAAGCTAACAAAACTAAAATGTCACTAGGAAACCACAGGTTTTACTTTCTGTGGTGAGAACATGAGGGATGGGGTGAGAACAAGTGAATACATTGATTATTAAAGGGAAAAGGGAATGCTCAGCCATACTAAAAGGCTTACTAACGTAAATCCTTGTTTCATCAGATAACAGGGAAGGAAACTGGTATTAAAAGTGCCCGTCGGTAAGTCCAACACCACTGTAAAACATTTGCTTTAACCTGCTGGAGTCACAGACCCAGTGTGTGCTGCAAAACTTTAAGTTTTGCACTGATTTAAAAACTGGTTTTCAGTGTCCCCAGCACTGGCTCCGGGGCACCAGGAAACAGGAAGGGACATTTGAAGTCACACTCGGGGTACAGCTGCTGCTGCCTGAGGGTTCCTTTGCCCAGGGAAGGAATGAGCAACAAGCCAGGCAGCAATTCCCATCTTATCAGCCATTCCAGCAGTGATGCCTGTGGATGCTCTTCACCCACAGCAGGGTGCAGACAGCTGGGCACTTGGCAAAGCACACTGTACCAGCTGAAGACACAGTTAACCCCTGCTCTCCCTGCCCTGCTGCCATACAAGCTGTGCTTATTATTTTTAGGCCGATATTTTATCAATTTTTTGCTATTTCCATCATTATTTGCTCATCTGAAGTTGTTGCCTCTGGAGCTGACAAGCTGTCACTGCCTGTGACAGCTCTTAATTTGGATATGGTAATTTTATCATTCCTACTGTACACAAGAACCTGGTATTTGGCAAACACTAAACGTTAAATTTGTACAAGTGCACTGAAAAACCCCAGGAAAACTCAGATTCTCAAGCCATTTTCACAGTTCAAGCTCATTTCATGTGGTCTTACAGCCACTGCAAGGGGAACTGGGGACAGGCTGCTCCTGAAGGCCTCAGACTTTTTGCCTGGTGAACAAATGCAGCTACTTTCAGCTTCCTCAACTTTCTCAGGACAGCCTGTTGTCCTGCTGACAGCCCTTTCCACATCAATCCTGGGAAGGAAAAGTCTGCAGTAGTCCTGAACTTACGCAGCAATAAACAAGCAAACAGGGAATTCAAACACAGAATCAACCACACTGCAGCACAGGTCCAGGGAACTGAGCTCCTTCACACAGATGGACAGACCCAGGGGCCAGGCTACTCACCAGTTCCTGTGCTACAGAAGATGTTTTAAGTGTTAGATTATCTGGGCAACAGGTCCCCAGCACATGTCTGGCCTCAATCCCCTGAGGGAAAAGTCACTTGGAAAATTTCAGCATAAACAGCCAAGAGATGGGCAGGACATGAGTGGGGAAGCATCAAGGATCCCAGTTTCTTGCAGGTGAACTCAGAGCAGCTGTGGCTGCCCCATCCCTGGAAGTGTCCAAGGCCAGGCTGGACGGGGCTTGGAGCAACCTGGGCTAGTGGAAGGTGTCCCTGCCCACGGCAGGGTTGGAACGAGATGGGGTTCAAGGTCCCTTCCAATCCAAAGCACTCTTGGATTCTGTGATTCTGTGAACTCACCATGCCCAACGTGGAGGAAATGGCTCTGCCTCCTGCAGCAGCCCCTCTCTGCAAACAGGTTCCTTTGCTCCTCTGCTCTGCCCACAGCTCCGGTGCCTGCGGTCACAAACCCCGAGCTCAGCATCACCCCGGTTACAACTCCCCACCTTTCCTGCCCGAGCTGGGAGAAGGCACTGAGTGCCCATCCACCCACCATCCTGAACCAAACAGCTCCAGCATGAGGAACAGATTTAGTTATAGATGGACATGACACATCTGGCAGCTCAACCCTGACTGGTTGGGCTGAACCCCCTGTTTAGTTGCTCCAAGTGCTCTGTTTGGCACTGTTTGTCTCAGGACATCAGTCCCCTGCTCTCTTCTACTTTCACATTACTGCAAGGTGAGCTCAGTAAGGAGTTGCCTCCCACAGCACAAAGCACTAAACCCTCCCCAGATTCCCCTGACACAAACTCCAAACTGTTTGCCCAGTGCAGGCAGCCCATGCCCAGTCCCACACCACCCCCCCTCTGCTCTCCCCTGCCAGAGGTCAAAGCAGTGCCAAGGACAAAGAGAAGGAAAAAGGAACTTACTGGCAAAGACAGGAGCCTGCAAGAGCCCTGCAAGGAAGAGCACAGCTCGTGGGTCCTGCATGCTGCACCCTGGGAAGCACAGGAAGGTCTCCAGTACCTCTGACACTTATACCTGCCCTCCCTGGCAGGTGAGAAGGTGAACAGCTCTGAGCCAAATGGACTTGCATATCCCAGCAAATGTCCCCAGATTGTGATCTGAACAAACACCTCAGCGGCCTGGGCGACGAGCACCCCTCACCCATGATCAGGACCACACTCCCAGCTGGGATGACCAGGCTGGGATCAGGCTCCCAGCAAAACTTCAAAGTGCTTCTTGAGAGCCACTGGATTTGCTGCCAGCCTGGAGAAGCTCCCTTGGGGGTCTTTGTTGTTACCACCACTTCCAAACTAATTAAGTTTGTGGCGACTGGGAGCCGCTCTCAAATCCTCTCACTTGAAAGGAACATGCATCCTTCATCCTCCCTCATCCCATTCAATGGTTTTATCTGGGGACAACCCTCCTCTGCCCCTCCCTTCACCAAATGGAGTCAGAGCTGGTGCTTGGACAAAGGACTCCCCACATCAGCACTGGCAGAGTGTTTCCCACAGCCACGAGGAGCTGCCTGGGGCTCCAGTTGTGTCTGTGGTCAGTGGGACTGAGCCCTGCAACCAGGAGGAGGCATCTCTCTTCCTAGCTGCTAAATCCATGTAGGAAAGCACCAGTTAAGTCCAAGTAGGAAGGCACTAGAGCCCTGGAAGCAGGCACTGCTGGCACCCCTGTGCTGTCAGGGACTCTCTGAGATGTCTGATGGATCTGGCCGAGGGCAGCAGATTCCTGAATACAGGATGCACGAGGCTCCTCATGCATCCTCGGGATCTCCACACCCACTTGGCCAAGGGCACGTGGCAGGGGACAGATCCTGCTCCCAGGGAAAATGGTTTTGCCAGACTGAGGAGTGAGAGCACACAAGTAACACATCGGATACTGCTCTGGCATTCAAAATGGGGGTCTAGGGGCTGGGTTTTTCCTGGCTACAGTCACTTGCAGGTGCAGCAATCACAGACACAGAAGCTGCACAGCCCCCAGAACAAGCTGAGTCTCCTTGGAGCTCATCCCCAGTTCCTGGAGGCCAGCTGGGCTCCTCTGGGACAGATGCCTCGAGGAAACAATTAGCAAAACCAAAGTGCATCCTGCCAAAAACACACCATTTACCACCAGGCTACAGGAACCTCATCCCCTCCAGCCCAGCCCAGAAATCAGCACAGATGCTCAACAACAACAAAAAAATAAAAATTTAATTGTGTTAAGAGACAAACATATATAACAAAACCCACATTTCCATTAAAAAAAATTCCCTGTGCCTGGGCACCTGAGCTGAGCCACTCTCTGCTCACAGCTCTGTGGTGCTGCAGAGCACCCAGAGAGACCAGAACAGAGTAACTGCTGTGTAACCTGGCCAGAACAGAGAGCAGCTGCAGGGCAGGGGGAAGTGACATACAAAATAGTTATGGAAAAATATGCATTTTAAATAAAGAGCTTACAATAACTTCAACTTTATACAAAATATCATGGTTGCCATTTCAGTGTTTCAATTCCAGGAATCATTTTTGAACTCTCAGCATCCTGTTTTCCATCTCACACCATCTCTGCAGTCTCTTTCTCCAGGGAGTTCAATCTCTGTTCAGCTCAGTCCAAAGTACCTGAAAATGAAAAAACACATTACAGTCTCAGGGATCAGAAGTTCAGTTCTGTGAACAAATGAAACCTGTTTACAAGCTGCCAAAGCAACATGCAGTAACCCTAAAGTTTAAGCAAACCACACATGAGTAAGCCCAAACTCAGACAAAAAGTATTGCATGTGCCTCAGGGCCCACTTGAGCTGTTCCACTGCTCAGAGGGGCACAACAACCTACACTATGTGAATTACTGAAGATGTGGACAAAGAGAGCTTTGCAAATGATTCAGTTCTTTCTCTCCCACAGTGGTGACCATAAAAAACACTGAAACCAAGTGAAACCAAGTAGAAACTCACCTTCCAAAAAAGCAAATTCGTCGATAGCTTCAATGGCATTATCTGCAAAGCAAATTGAGAACAATTACCATAGATAAACCACCCCCTTATTTGCATCTAACAGCAGCATCTGAAATTACATCACAGCAGAGTGACCAACTTCAAAAAGGTTTACTTGTTTTAGAGCTGGTGTGTGAAATTATTAGTGTACTATTTAGCATAAGAGAAGTTTTTCTCTCCCATCTTCAGAGAAAGAAAGAGAAGCACCTACGGTTATTTCAGCACTCTGGGACAGGTGGAAAAATCCCAGTAACCCAGAGGTTTAAGGCCAGCACAGAACATGCTCTCATACCAAGGTCTTTTCTCTGCAGAGTTTTCCTTTTTCCTTGCTGGGCGTACACATAAGCATCTTTGGCTATGGTTTCAACAAACAGCTCCTGCAAGACAAAACCAGGACAGTTTCACACAGGTGACGGGAGAGGGGAGAGAGAATATTCTGAGGAAAGGAAAGGTCCTACAAGACCTCAGGATGAAACCAGAATCTCCATTTTAACATTTCGCCTTCCCAGTAAACGGCTCTGAAAATAGGAAAGGGAATGGTTGCACAGTAAGGAGGAGAGGCAGGAGAAGCAACAAGGGAGAAGGCCGGGAGTGTGATGGGTCCTCTGAAAACATCTGCTACACACCAGTGGCTCCCTGGGTACCTTCTGAAGGGGGAAAGGTGTCCTGTGCTCAGGGGATGAATCACCTCGAAGATCGCCGAGTCCAAGCACCACCACCGTGTTCCCCACCAGACCGTGACCTCAAGTGCCACATCCATTCGGCTGCTAAATCCCCCCCGGGATGGTGACTCCACCGCCGCCCTGGGCGGCACAACCCCCTCCATAAAGGAATTTCCCTAATATCCAATCCAATCCTCCCCTGGCACAGCTGGAGGCTGTTTCCCCTTGTTCTATCCCTTGTTCCCTGGGAGCAGAGCCCGAGCCCCCCCCAGCTCCCCCCTCCTGTCAGGGAGTTGGAGAGGGTTTTAGATTTTGGTCTCTGCATGTCTTTAACAGCAGTGCAGGGTTGGTTTCTGCAGGGTTTGCTCTGCAGTTCTCCCTCTCACACCCTGCTCACATTCCATGGGCAGCAGCACAGTCGTGAGGACCCCAAGCCGAGGGGCAGCCTCAGCTCCAGGTTGGTTCAGGGTGAACCCAAGTGCCTTCCATTCCTGCCCTGCCCCAGTTTGAAGCCCAGGTAACCCTGGGCCCGAGAGGGAGCACCATTTCCTGGGAATATCAGTCTTTCCAAGCATCTCTTCTAATTAATTAGGTTTCACTCCCATCCCCGCATCGTCTGCCTAACAAACTATTTCTGGTGCTGCAGAGCTCTGGGGGCTCGGGATTGCTGATGGAGGGGTTGTGAAATGAGAATTGGCTGAGAGGGGCTGTTTCCTGCAGTGGAAAACCGAGCTCCTCCATGGAGACAGAGCCCTGGGAACTACAAACTGGGTGAGTCACTGCTGCTTCCCAGCTCGGGGGGAATTGGGCTGAGTGTTCAGAAGTGTCAGGATTTTTTTATGCTTTTTTTTTTTAAAAAATAATTTAATTTAATTTAATTTTATCTTATTTTATTTTAGTCCAGTAGGAAGGTGGAGATGCCCAAGCTGTGCTGGATCAGAGCAAGAGATGACACTTTGCAGCAGGAGCCAGCATTTCCTCCCTCTCCTGCCCTTGAACAGTTACACTTGCAGGAGGAGAGAAGCCTCCAGGTGTGAGTGCAAGTGGAGGGATTGTTCTTTGGCAGGTGTACTTTGGGTGAGGTGGTTGTGCAAGAAGAGAAGCCCCTGTGTGGCTCTGGTGGCTCTGTTCAGTCTGAGGGCTGTGCCAGAGCTGCAGATCCACCAGGAGATCAGTTGTGGACAGTTTGGGATGGGTGGTCCCCATCCCTGTGGGGAGATATCCACTTTATCCAGCATGCCCTAAGGAGGGATTTCTCAGTGATAAAGAGCTCTGGGTAATGAAGTCTAAACAAACACCATCTTTCTAATAGAGTTTTTGTTTGACCAATGTGGCAGAAAATCTTTTCTACCCACCCCGGTGGTGGGGACACCTTTGGAATGGGAAACGTTGCCTCGTGGAGCAGACAGGTACAGACAGGTACGGCCTTGTCACTGCTTCTCTGAGGGGTTTGACTGCTGGAAAAGGCCATTTTCTTCTTCTCATGTGAGTGTCCCACCTGTGGGGGCATGGGCAGAGCTTCTCCCAGCCCAGAGCATCCTGGGATCCAGCGGCAGGGAGTGGGTTGGTGGGGTGGGATGGTGTCTGGTGGCCGTGGTCCTTCTGGCTTCCCATCCACCATCCGGTGGCAGAAAGAGCAAAACCCCCTCGTGCCTGAGAAATGCTCCCAGTGCAGAGACTGGCTGTGGAAAATCGGTGTTAGGTGGGGCTGCGGCGTCTGAATCGCCGCCCTTAGTTTATGAAAATTATAATTATTTTGATTTTTGTCCACAGACAGCTTGAAATGTTGCAAAACTCTGCAGGTGCTCTCCCGTTATAACAAAACCCCAGAACAGATGGTGCAAGGTACCAGGCCAGCTCAAGGGATTAAAGCAAGGCTTTTGAAATTTAAAATTAAAGCTGGGTGATCTTGGGAAAATGTACCTGCCAAACGAGCTTGCTTAAAAAAAAAAAAGTTCTCCAAGTTCTCCCTACAAGCTGATTTAAATTCAAATGAGGCAAAAATTGGGCACTTTAAAAGTGCTTAAGAGAGGATTAAAAATCTGCGAGCAAGAAGAAAGGGGATGGATATGAATTATTTGTTGTTGCAGGAGGNTGAGCTCACCTCACCCCCAAGCACGGCCCCTGAGCTCCCCTCACCACCAAACTCGGCCCCTGCTGTCTCATCACCCCCAAACACAGCCCCTGAGCTCCCCTCACCACCAAACACGGTCCCTGAGCTCCTCTCACCCCCAAGCACGGCCCCTCGTTCTCCTGCTCACCTTGTCCCCCAGCACAGCCCCTGCGCTCTCGTCACCCCCAAACACAGCCCCTGAGCTCCCCCATCCCTGTCCTCCCCCAAAACGGCTTTCAGGGCCTCCCCGCCACCCCTCGTCCCCAAACACGGATCTTGGGCCTCCGTGTCCCCCCAGACAGGGCTGTGCTGTCCCTGTGGCAGCAGCAGGAGCAGTGGGGTAGGTGGGGATGGGGACCCACCTCTCCGAGGAGGTGGCTGTCACCACTGTCTGCCTACCCTGTGCCCCCGTGTCAGCTCCCTGTGGGTCCCGTGTGGGACCTCCTGACAATCCCTTTCCATCCCACCTCCAGCTGGTGGGATCAAACCCTCCAGTGCCTGTCTTGGGCACCCACCACCCTCCACAGGACCCCCAGGACCACCACCCTTGGCCAACAGGTGCTCATCCCAGCCTTCTCCATGTCCGCAACCTCTGTCTTATCCTTAAATTTGCAGCAGGAGCCACTGCAGGCACTGCTGATGGGACACCTTCCCAAAGGACTGGAGGGACACGCCACCCTGGAGCAGGGAAGTCAGCATCCACCAGCCAGCCAGAGCAGCCCTGCCCAGGGCTTGACCTCTCAGACCATTCCTGCCTCTGAGGCAACAGTTGACATCAGGATGTTTCAACACAGCAATGGCCCAATGCAGAACCGCTCTGTGCAGACCTTCCCCTGCCTTCCCAGAGGAGTTTGTGTGGGGCTGTTTTGCTGTGTGACCCCCCACAAATCACTTCCACCCTCTGCAGGTCCCCTGTGGCTCTGAGACCTGACCTGCAGAGGGTTCACATCAGCCACTATCAGATAAGGACACTGCCCACCCTCCCAGGCCCATGCCTCACATCCTGCAGTCAGTTCCCAAAACCCAGGCTCTTCTCTGGATGAGACTTTTCTGGGCAGCAGAGCTTGGTGGGCTGCAAGCTTCTAACAGCAGCAGAGCCAAGCTCGTGGTCCTCCAAGAGCCGCTCCTCCTCCTCCTCCTCTCTCTCCTCCCCCTGGTGCTGTCTCACCATCAGGCTACAGCGACTTCCTGGCATTGCACACAGGTCCTCACCAGCCGTTAGGAAAGAGCTTCTGGTTTCAGGGGAGGGGGACCTCGGAGAGGCTCATCCTGGAATGCCTCGGGTGGTCTTTAGCAAGGAGGTGAGCACACAGGAAAGCATCCACTGATGGAAAATGGTGAGTAAGAACCAGACTTGGGCTATGCTGGACATGGGGAGGGGACACTGGGAGTGGAGCTGTGTCTCCTGGTTGGGAAGGCTTTGGGGATGTCCTTGTGAGGGACAGAATCCATCTGAGACCCTCGCTCCTCCTGGAAGGCAAAGTCTTCCTGTATGTCTGAGTTGATCGGAGCTTCAAAGGTCTCTGACCTGTTCCTGGGCTCAGTGGGAGTTTTGCTGGATGAAGTTGGGATGGATATAAACTTCTGGGAGAAGAGGAGGCTACACTCCCACTGAGTCCAGGAGAGCTCCACCGGCACAAAAAAACCTGGAATTTGTCACAGTCACAGTGGTGCTGTATCCCACAGGTACACCTGAGAGCTCTGGGCAAGTCCCAGTTCATGGAACAGCCCCAAAATCGATGGTTACAAACCACTGAGTCATTCAAGTGCCAAAAATCCCAGCAGCATGTTTGGGAATCTAGAAAAAGTTGGGTTTTTTTCACTAGTTCGGGTGAAAGCCCCACTGCCTGGTGTGCAGGAAACAGCACATTCACTCTGCTTCACCACAGGCTATGCCAAATGCTGCATGGGAGGGTTTACCAGGGGAATTGGGGCATCTGCCTGGAGAACTTGTGTTTATGTAGGTATACATATACATTTGATCAGTTATGTCTAAAAACACTGCACCAGCCTCTCTCCATATCAGCCCTTCCCTTGTGAAAGAAAAAATTGCACAAGTACAAACCCAAACTGAAATCCCAGAAGAAGAAGAAGTTCAAAATCAAAGCCTACAGCTCCAGCAGAGCAGCAGCTCTGGTGCAAAGAAACACTGTGGTCTGGGGACATCAGGGTGGGAGAAACATGGGGAGGGTAAGGTGATCCCTCCCCTTCCACAAGGTCCCTCTGAGAAGCTTAGGAAAAAATGTAGCCCCATCCTGCAGCTTTGTGCCGTAGCTCCAACCTGGCACTCTTCTTCCAAGAACCATCCAGCCTCCTCCTGGCAGCCTTTCTGTGAAGGCTCTAGCAAAAGGTGAATTTTGGTCACTGAGGTCACCGAGGAAGCTGAGGGCACCTCTGTGCTGGAGCCAAAATGTCCTGGTTTGTGTGTACACGGTGTGAGCTGCACAGGAAACACACAGCTCAGAAAAGTAGGCCAGCTCTGCTGCCTCTTGGCCTTGTTTTTTGCATGCAGGCTTTGGTGGGATGAGTTTCAGCAGCACCACCCCGAGTTTTCCTGCAGGGAGGGATCCAACAGCTCTGTGTGGTCTCCCTCTCTTTGTGGTTCTTCATGGGAACCAGGACCAGGGCAAGGTAGGTTGCTCCCCTCTGAGCCCTGGGCAATCTCTGGATCTCAGATTCTGCCCTCAGGAGCTTTGTTACTAGCAGGGTGTAATCCCTGACCCAATCCCCCTGGTTTGATGGTCCCTGGTAGTGGACAAAGGGTGGATCAGACCAGCAGCCCGGTGTTGTTTTCTCAGACATATTCCAGGACCTTTTTGAGCAAAGACCTTGTTTCATGGAGAAGGCTTAGTGTGAGGCCATGCTGAAGGAATACCACATTCCTCAGGGGGAATTTTGACTCTTTTTCCTCCATGGTGTTTTAACTGGAATTTTTTTTCTTAACAGTCGCAGATGCACCTGGAGGGGAGAGATGCTGTGGTGAGACACCTGAGGGCAAAGTTCCAAGGGACCAGGAAAGACCCTCCTGAAGCGGGGGGCTGGCCAGAGAGTCACCCTGCAGCACCCCATGGACCAGAGCCAGGACAGACCCTTGCAATGGGCTCCAAGGGCAAGCCCCCTCCAGAACCCCCCCGGAGCAGGAGAGTGGACTCCAGCAGGGCCTCTCCATGCCACAGCACAGGTCAGAGTGTGGCACAGCATTCCCCTCCTCATCTCCCCCACGAGGCCCTGGCATGGATGGCACGGCAGAAGAAGGGGATGGCTCAAGACACCAACTTCCACCGAGCACCAGCAAAGCCAGGAGGAGGAGGAGATGTGTTGAACAAGGAGGTGGGAGCTGGCCCTGATCCTCCCCAGAGGAAGCCAGCCCAGCAGACACGGCCACTTGCCAAAACCAAGGGTGTTCCAGCAGTTCCTGCCAAAGGCACGGCGGTTGCAGCCCCCCTGGTCGCTGCAGGAAGCCCCCACCACACAGGACTCCCAGCTCTGCCCCAGAGGAAGCCTTTGCCACCCATGAGGGTGCTGGGGGTGAAGCCAGCCAAGCCCTGGCGCCCTCCTGTCGTGGATTTGGCAAAGGTCAGAGCAGCTACACGTCCTGGGACACCTCTCCATCCTGCCACAGTGCCACCAAGGAGTGCTCAGCTGGGTATGGCCAGACACCTAGAAGTCCCTCAGGGAAGGATGCTGCTGGTTGAGGAAGGGAAATGTCCCCACTTAGAGCCTGGATCTCCTGGGAAATGGAAATACTGTGGGGGCTGATGGAGAAGTGGGGGCTGGTAATACCAAAGGGGCTTTTATAGGCAATAGCATGTGGAAAAGAATGAGAGAAAAGGAGAGCAGGTGAGGAAACAAATTGCCCTGTCTCTGGCTGGGCACAGGTATCAGGCCCTGAGGTGTTTGTAGGGAGTAAGGTTGGAGTAAGTAACACAAGACATTCTGAAAAACTGGAGTAAGCCCAGTGCAGGGCACTAAGATGGTTGGGGGCTGGAGAACATGGGGAAAGAAAGGCTGAGACCCAGGCTTGTTCATCTGGGAGGAGAGAGAGGAAGGGGAGATCTCACTGCCCACAGCGACCTAATGGGGGGAGAAGTGGGACCAGACTCTTCCCAGGAGGTGCCTGGGAGCAGGCCTGGAGGTGGTGGGCACAAGCAGTAGGGGAAATTCCAGTTAGGCATGAGGAGAAGACTCTTTCCTGTGAGCACGGTGCAGCCCTGATGCAGCACCAGGAAGACAGGCATCTCCATCCTTGGAGACACTCAGCTTTCACCTGGATGAGGCCCTGAACAACCTGCTCTAGCTCTGAGGCCAGACCTGCTCTGAGCAGAGGTTGGATGAGTCTCCAGGGGTCCATTCCCAGCAGTCCATCCTTGTGTGGCAGTCAGAGCAGACAAGCCCAACTGGTGGGAAGCAGAGCTGGTCCATCCCATGAACAAGAAGCACTTACACACCAGGTTTAACACCCAGTGTGTGTGTGTCTGCCCCTTTGGCCTCGAGGCAGAGGCTCCCTGCTGCCTGTGGGATGCAGGGCTTCGTGCCTCTGGGTGAGGTGGTTCTCCATTCAGCATCAACTCTGGATGCTCCACAGTGGCCTTCTAGTTCCAGGCCACTGCAGTGGTTTCTCACAGCTGCTGCTCTGCTAATCCACACTCTGGGTGTTGAAACCTGTTTCAAATCCCGTTTCTGGCTCAACTTCTCTAGCCATGAGAGTAGAACCTCCCTTATTTCCTCATGAGAACTGAAAAATCGAGCTGGTTTGTGTTACTATTAAAAGGTGTTATCAGGGCTGGCTGTGCTGTTGTGCTGGGAGATGCTCACCCATATGACCAGCCCTGGTAGAGGAGGGAGCAATCTGCTCTCCCTGTGTCCTACAAACCAGCAACTTTTCAAGTATTTATTTGTCTAATGGGTACTGAGGCAAGTTTGAACATCTAGAATTACATCCAAATAACAATCTGGTTATTGTTGTTAGTTTTTTGGGCAGTCTTACAAGTTTTGGGGCCTAGTATTTGATTGTGCATTACTTGGTAAAATAACCCAGCAGAGCTGTGATGTTGTACTTGGGTCTTCATGCCAGTTGTTGGTTAGTCTGGTTGACCAGACTGGTGATGAGCTTGATGATAAAAACAGTGGGATGTTAGCAGGGATGTGGGCATGCTGGCAGTCCTGAAGTGGCTGAAGTGCAGCATGTTGTGGCTGCTGATGCTTCTGAGTGCATGGAGATATCCAGGGCTTGCCCTAACACTGGTACAGAACTGGAATTTAGGGTTTCCACGACATTCAAAATACCTGGTTTGGCCTCTTCATCTTCCCCTTCCATCATTTGTCCAGGGAGAAAGTAACATTAGGGACATAAGAATGGGAAAATATATATTCAAGGTCACCAGTGAGCTCCTCAATGAGCTGTGCCCCCTTGTGCTGCACGAAAGTCCCCAGATGAGCTATGGAGTAAAAAGTTCTTGCTCGATCCAGATGTGCGGTTTTATCTCCCCACCTCCCTCTCTCTGCACTAAATCCAGTCCAGGGTGGCTCTGACCTCAGGGTGTGGGTGACAGAGCTGAGGAGAAAATATGAGCTAACCCCTCACTGCTGCCTCCTGTTCGCTGTGTCCCACAGGTCACCCGAGACCAGGCTGTGCCGCGCGGTCCCCGCTGCAGGGCGCTCCGGGTGGAGCGGGGTAAGGACACACACAGCTCTGTTATTCCCGGGGGCTTCGAGGCTGTGCCGACCCAGTGGGAAGGGCTCAGGAGGGGACAGCGAGGGGCTCCTGGGGTTTTCCTGCCTGCGCTGGCAGCTCCCGCGGTGGAAGCGCTGCCGCCCCTCGGGGGCTGCGGTACCGCACTGCTGTGGCTGCTGCCATCACCCCCCTGCCCGTCCCCTCCACGGCCCTGCTGTGCTGCCTTGTGAGGAGCTGCTGGCACAGGGCACAGAGCTGCTGGCACAGGGCACAGAGCTGCTGTCCCGCCCTGCCCCAGAGCCAGGGCCAGCCCACGGGCAGCCCACCCGCCTCTTGCCCACCCTCCTCCTGGCAGCCTCGACTCTGCCCTCGGCCCCCAACCCCGCTCTGCCTTGCCACAGGGATGAAGATGAGATATATGATGACGTTGAGTCTCTTGGGCCGCCCAGGAGAAACCCAGGCGTGCTGCTGCCTCCTGTGTCCCGGCCGCCAGCAAATCCCCGCCCTAGAGGAGGTGGGTACGAGAGGGGCTGGGGTGCTGTTTGGGGCGAGAGCTGCAGCTCCCAGAGCCTTGAGGCCCCGAAGATCCACAGGCAGCAGCAGAGCCCGTGCTGAGCCCACTGCTGCCACGCACAGGAGGGAGATGGGTTTCTCTGCTGCTTGTAAATGGGCAGGGGAAACCCTGATCCCACCACGCTCAGGGGCACACTCAGGGTTTGGTCTCAGGAGGAGAAAGCTCTTGCTGCTCCTTGTATCTTGTCTTGGCAGGTGTTTACACCTCACAGCAGCCTCATGGCAGCACCTCTCCTGGGGTTTGGTTTTACAGGTGGAGATGCTGGCCGAGCCTCTCACAGGGTTACCTTGCTGGCAGCTGCACAGAGGTAACGGGGTTTTTCCTTTTCTAAAGGTCCCAAAATGGTCAGGTCTCCTTGGTGCTCTGACAAAGCTGGTGCTTTAATGGTTTCTGCTGTGCTTGCAGTAGGAAAACCCATGAAAAGCACAAGCTGCAGGCTGTGCACCTGCTCCAAGAGCCCCCAGCAGCCCCAGAGCTGGTGCAGGGAAATGCAATGGGGCAGCAGCCAGGGGGGCAGGAGGGGATGAGGGGAATCAGAGCGTGGGGCCACCTGAACCTTCCTGTGACTCTCAAACACTGCAGAGAAGCCCAGGTCTCCCAGAAGACAAAGACCATGACACTCAAGGAATGCAAGAAGGAAGAGAAGGCAGACAGGGAGTTTCAGAAGAAATTCAAGGTGAGCAGCAGCGAGTGATCCCTTATCCCTCTAAGCTCCTTCTCCCCTCCTGGGAAGGGTGCAATGCAATGGCAGGGAGGAGCTGTGCTCTGCAGGGACCAGCCAGTACCCAGTTCCCACCTGCCCTGTTCCCCCAGATCAGACCAGTCCCACAGACCGTTTGGCTAGAGAGGCATCTGCTTTTTCCAAGCAGGGAGAGCAGTGAGACCTGCCTGACTCAGTTCCCCTGAGGGCACTGCTGTTTGTGTTTCAGTTCGAAGGCAGCATCGACGTCCTGACTCGGATGATGGTCGACCCTGCAGCGACAGAGAAGAGGGGCGGGGGGAGGAATCTACCGCTGCGACGAGGAGAGATCCTTGATGTCATTCAGTTTACCAATCAGGAGCAAATCCTCTGCCGGAACAGCCAGAGGAGGTGTAAGTCTGGAAGAGGATGAGGGTTTGCCCGCAGGGGGGAGCACAGCAATTTTAGGAACAAGTTTCTTCGTACGCACACGCCCCGCCAGACCGCAGGAGAGACATCCTCCTGCCGTTAGACAGACCTGGCAGGTACCCTGGGCCTCAAAGGTTCCCACTTCTCTCCGCACAAACGTCCTGCCCTTCCTCCATTTCTGCCGTGAGCGGGGCTTGTCCTCCCCTCCCTCTGCTAAAAGCCATTCCATTCCCCGGAGCCTCTCGGCCACCAGCCTGGCACACCAGGCTTTGCCATGGGCACAGTCTCCACAAGCTGTGTCTGCACCGAGGGATGCACAGGTGAAATGGGCTGCAGATCCTCCAGGCAGAGACACGGGGATCGGGCTCTTCCCTGCAGGTGCCACCCAGCCCGGCAGGCTCCTCCCTGACACTGCCCGGAGCAGGTTCCTCCCACGGTCCAGCTCAGCTTCCCAGAGCCGGCTCTGCCTTGTCCCACCTCTCCCTGGGGACACGTTCACCTCTCCCTGGGGACACGAGGTGTTGCTAAACCCTGCAAGTCCTGGGCAGGGGCAGGGGCTGGTGTGAGTCCCTGCTGATGCTGCAGCTCCCAGCACAACCTGACATGTTTTTCCTCTCTATTGCAGATGGCTACGTGCCCCGGGACGTGATGCTGCACCTGTGAGTACCTTCCCCGACCCCTTCCTCCCCCTCTGTGAGCTCAGCTGCTCAGTGAGTGCCTGGCACCAAACCATTCCTGACAACTCAAAACCATCCAGCCCAGGCAGTGACCATAAACCCAACACAGGCTGGTTACCCTGGGGTGGAACCTGCCACTGCTGGTGTCAGGAGCAGTTCTGGCACTGGGGCACATTGAGCACTCCCCAAGATGTGGTCCCTCATGTGGGACATGCCCAGAGGCTGCTCAGAGGCTGCTGGTGGCAGCACAAAGGTGCTGCTCCTCTGCATGGCCAGGTCTGCAGCTCCCATAGCCTGGAACAAGGCCACTGTCTGTGAGAGGGGCCAGAGTCATGTTAACCCCACACTGGAGGGGCCAGAGTCATGTTAACCCCACACTGGAGGGTCCCAGCTCTGTGGGGAGAGCTGGGAGGGAGCAAATGGGACTGCAGGAGGACACCAGAGCCCACAGACAAGTCAGGAGAGATGGAACAGATACAGCAGCAGGGGCTGGCCCTTGCCTCAGGGTCAGGAGGTGATGGGGACACAGGAGACTGGACTGCCCTCAGCACCCTGTCTTTCTCCTTGCAGGGACTGTGACATCTATGATGACGTTGAGATTTATGGTAGGTGCAGAGGGAGCTGCTGCCCTGCCCCTTCACCAGGTGCTGCCTGGCACGGACCAGCAGCAGAGACCCCACACCAGCGCCAGGGCCTCCCCTCCTGACCCCTTGCTGTTTTGCCACCTTCCCTCTCTCCCCTCCCTCTTTGTGATTCCTCTTCCTGAGATATCCTTTACTTGCCCTCAGTTCCCCAAAGGTCTTCACGTTCTGCTATTCCCAATTATCTGGACTTCCCTGCACCCTTTCCCATCTCAGCTTTCTCCCTCCACTTGCTGTCAGCCCCAGGGCCCCTTCCATGTCCTTTGAGGTGTCCCTGATCCCCCAGACAACTGGGACTCCCCTTTCCCAAGCAGTTGCTCACCCCCAACATGCAGGCTCCATCCCCCAGCTCACAGCTGGCTCTGAAATTGGAGCTGAACAGAGGCAACTGTGTTTCAGCTCTGCTGATGAGCAAACCCCTGATCTACTTCTGGCAGGCTGAGTGATCCACACTAAGGCCAAAGGCATGAGACAGCATCACAGAGACCTCCCCAGGGGCTGACACATGCCCAGCACCAGGCACCACGCTCCTGATGGGAAAGGAGCTCTGCTTCCTCCGAGCCAGCCTGCAAATCCACCGGGACCCTGCCGGAGCAGCCGCTCAGCACGTGGGGCTGCACAGCTCCTGTCCCACGGGGCAGGGGGCCAGAGGTCCTCGAGTCACAACTTCACTGTGGCTTTGCTTTGTCTGTGGAAAATATGGCAATGGTTCAAGAAGGCTTTGTGGCCTTGCTTTGGGTTGGGGGTTAAAGTCAGGGCCAGAAAGGTTTTAATGTCTCCCCATTCCCAGAGGATCCTGAGTCTTGGACCCACCCACCCCATTCTTCTGCACCATGCTCCAGCTCCAGTAACACTCCTGGCCTGAGCCAGAGACAAACTGGACACAGAAATACTCTAAAATGTTGTGGATTATTGACCAGGCACCCCAGCAGCACCTTGTGGCCTCGGGGCAGCTTCCCTGCAGAGCTGGTGGGGAAGTTGGCTCTGTTGGGGTAGATGTTCCTGCGGGAACATTCAGCACCATCCCTTGGTGTCTTGGGCTGCCCTCTGTGCAGATGCCACGAGGAAGCCCTGCCCTCACAAAGCCCTGCCCTCACAAAGCCCTGCCCTCCCGGAGCCCTCCCGGGTGGGGGTGGGATGGGGGTGCACTCACAGCTGGTGGGAGCACAAATCTGGTGCCCGACCCAGATCTGGTGGCAAGACCCAGATCCCTTTGGATCAGAAACCGTGAGGGGAAGGGAGTGCTGGGTCTGAATCCCTGCTCTCAGTCCGTAACCCCCAACCCAGGGGCTGGAGGGTTAAACCGGGAGGGTTCGGCACCGCAGGGGCGGGATGCCAAGCCCAGATTAACCAGTTGAAGACGTCACTTTCCATTATGGGAAAGGCTCCCAAATATCCCTGAAGCTTTTGGTTCTGGGGATTAGCCATCAGTGTACTCAGCTCCCAGCGCAGAGCAGGGGTCCGTCGGTGCCCGTGGCCATGAGCGGGGCTGGGAGCTGCTCCCAGGGGCATCGTCTGGGTGGCTGAGCACAACCATGTGGGAGTGTGTCAGGAGAGCTGTGCTGCACTCCCTGTCCACGGTCCTCCTGCGCCTCTGGAAGTGGCTGAGGGCTTTCTGGTACAAAAATGGCCTCCTGACCCTCTCGATGCTGTCGGTCGCCACCGGGTGCCTCCTGGGGTTCCTGCTGCGGACGCTGGAGCTGACGGACCTGGTAAGCCTGGCCAGGGTGGGGATGGGAGTGAGGGACGTGGAGTGATCGGGGGGACAACCAGCCCTGGGGCCAGTAAGGGTCCCAGATGGGCACAGCCCCAAAAGCAAAGGCTCCCGTCCAAGAAAACGCCTCAGGGCAGGTTTCTGCACATGGGTTTGGTTTTTGGTTTTGTTTTTTTTTTTTTTTTTTTTGACCAAGAAGCTGTCAACAAATGCCAAAGCTGCAGGACAAATCCTGCCTTCCTCCAGTGGGAGTGGGGGGCTCTGGGATGGAGCCCATGGGACTGCAAGAGCCTCCAGGTGGGTTGGGGAGGGGAAGGTGGGGAATGGCTGCTTGGCTGCAAGATGCTCAGTGACAGGCTCCCCCCAACACCTCCAGCAGCAATGGGGTCCCAGGGATGAGCTGCTCCCCTGACCCTCCCCAGCTGTGCAGATGCTCAATCCAAGCACGTTTCTGCTCTCTGGAGAAGACCCAGCAAATAAATAAGGGTGGGTGGGGAGCCTGGGGGGGTCTTCCAGGGGTCCCTCCTCTGAGGACCCTTGGAAACAAACACATTGGAGAAAATGCCCCTAAAAGGCACGTTCAGCCAGCGCTTTCCAGGAGGATCACGCTGTGGAACAGCCCCGGATCCCAGGGCTGTGCTGGCACTGGGCAGCTGGGCTGGCTCAGCCCTGATCCTCGGCAGGCTGGGGAGCCCAGGAGGGGGAATGCTGCTCCAGGGAGAGCTTGGCCAGTGCTGGAACATCCCCGTGTTGCCCACTTGGATTTAGCAAAGTCTTGTCATTTCAATTAGGCCCCTCAACATCAGCGCAGCGGGGATGATCTCGTTACTTAATTGGAGCCGGGTGTAATCTCCCTCAGCCCAGTGCACAGCCCGTGGGGCCAGCACAGCCTCGGGGCTCCAGGCCCTCATCCTGCCATGCACTGAGCTCATCCATCCTCTGCCCCAGCCACTGCTCCCCATTAGAGACTTTTGTCCCCAAACCCACACCACGGAGGAGGGGCCAGGCCCTGCTTTCCTCCCCACAGTGGGAAATGTTATGAAGTTAAAAGACCCGCTGACAAAGAGGTGCTGCTCCAACCTGCTGGCACCCCTTGCTCATGTCTGGGCCCATTGGAGCTCCCCAGGGACATGAGCCACATCCAGACCCCAGTGGGACAGCACAGGGACAGCACAGGGACAGCACAGGGACGGCAGTGAGGAGCAGTTGTTTGACCACCTGCCTTGGCACACCTCAAAGCCTTACTTTGGAGTAACCAAAAGTACCTGCTTGGCTTGGGGCCATCTCAGATCCATCCCTGACACCTCTACAGTGGCACAGTGAAAGATGGGGGGCAGGGAGGGAGGGAGGAAGGGTGGTTGGATGCAGGGATGGAAGGATGGTGGGTGGAGGTAGGGATGGAGGGATGCAGGAGGGAAAGAAGGCATTGATTTAATGGAGGAAGGGATAAATGGATGGATGGAGGGTGGGTAGAGGTAGGGATGGAGGGATGCTGGTCAGGGGGCTGCTGGTCCCACAGACCCTCACTGTCCCCTTGGTCATGGCTGTGCTATCTGGAATTTGGGGGTCTCTCTCCAGACAGCCCTTCCCCATGGCCATGTGAGGGATGTAGGGGATGTGAAGAGATGCCACAGCACAGAAACCTCCCTTGTTGCACTGAGGCTGCCCCATAAGTGGGCTGGACACCCGGGCTGTCCCTGAGCTTGCCTTTGCCACCTGCAGCCACAGGGTATTCCCACCCTTGGCTGCTCCTGATGGCTCTGGGGCACTTTGCAGATGCTCCCTGATAACAAGAGCAACAACATTCAGGAGGAGCCAGCTCAGAGCTGGGCCCAGTTTGGAAAAAGGCAAATTTATCAAGTTTGAGCCCTTAACCCACAATCATCACCCACTCAGTGCTCACCTGACACAGGCTCTGCTCTGTGTGCAGGAGAAGCAGTATTTTTCCTTTCCTGGAGAGCTTCTCATGAGGATGCTGAAGATGCTGATCCTGCCCTTGATCACCTCCAGGTAAAACATCACCTTCTACTCTAAAGCATCATCTTCCCATTGCATTGAGGAGATGGGCCCCTGACCCCCCATTGAGGAGATCACCCCAAAACTGCCTGGGGTGAGAATAACCCTGGCCCCAGGCAGCTGGCAGCCAAGCAGCATCCCCTGGCTTGGTGTACATCAAACCCCACGATTTCCCAGCAGGTCTGGAACAAATCCTCACCTGGAATTGGTAGGCACCTGCACCCAGGTCAGACACCTGCACTGGCTGGGGTGTTTCCCTTCTTTTGGGCAGCTGGTGATGCTGGGACCCTCCGTGGGCAGTTGTGAGGGGTGGCTGTTTAACCTCAAAGCAGATTCCCTTATTTAGAGGGATTTGAGAAAGCTCAAGTAGAAACAAAAAGCATCCCTCAGTGCTCTGTCTGTGTTTGCAAACCCCCATTTGATGGGCCCATACAGACCTAGAAATAAGAAACAGAGCCAGCAGTCACTCAGCTCTAAGCTTATATGGATTAAATACTGTAAACAATTGCTGGCACGTGCTCATTAGACACACCCAGCCCATAACTCCTCATTCCCTCGAGGATGTGTCGTTCCTCTATTGTTTGTCAGAGTTTGCTTGTTGCCCCATTTGCCTCTGGTTTATTTTTGGGAGCGGTGGGGTCTCTATCCTGGCCACACTTGGCCTGTTGAGCATCAGCCCCTGTGGAGATTCTTTTTTTCCCCTCCAGTACCTCACATCCCTCCCCCGAGGCACTTGAGGGTTTCCCTCTGCTCTCAGCCCTCCCTGCAGCTCAGTGACCTGGGTCATCCCCTCTCACCACTCTCCTGCCTGCAGGCACAGGGTCTGCATGGGGCTCCCAGGAGTTTTCCTGCATGTTGGATTGAACCAGGGATTTTTCTTATTTAATTACTGAATGATGGTGAAGTGGCATCTTCTGTCTCCACACCATCCCATGGGGGACTGGGAGCTCCCCAAGCCTCAAGTCGGAATCACCCACCTCAGCATTGCTTTTGTGGCCTCTTGAGCTTCCAAAGCCCCTTTCCTCCTGGACATGTGGCTGCTGGAGGGGATCTGTGGGCTGGCCACTACCTCAGCCACCCCATCCCATGTGTCCCCAAGGCTGGCATTTACCCTCACAGCCCCCCTCTCTGTCATGTCCTGCCTGAGGGTCGTTGGGCCAGTGCTGGACTCCACCAGCAGCTTCAGGGGTCTGCAGGGCTCAGTGTGGGTCTGCACACATATGGGGCACCTGCAGCCCCCAAACATGCATATTTCATAGAATCCCAGAAAATCCTGAGCTGAAGAGACCCACAAGGTCCATCCAGCCCAACCCCTGCCCTGCACAGACACCCCAACAATCCCACCCTGTCCCTCAGAGCGTTGTCCAAACGCTCCTGGAGCTCTGGCAGCCTTGGGGCCGTGCCCACTGCCCTGGGGAGCCTGGGCAGTGCCCCAGCACCCTGTGGGGGAAGAACCTTTCCCTGAGATCCATCCCAACCCCCCTGGCACAGCTCCAGCCCTTCCCTGGGTCCTGTCCCTGGTCCCAGAGCAGAGCTCAGTCCCTGCCCCTCCGCCTCCCCTCGGCAGGAGCTGCAGCCCCCGAGGAGTCTCCCCTCAGTCTCCTCTGCTCCAGCTGAACCAGCCGAGTGCCCTCAGCTGCTCCTCAGACCCTTCCCCTCCAGACCCTTCCCCAGCTCCCTGTCCCTCCTTTGGACACTCTCCAGCAGCTTCAGATCCCTCTGACACTGTGGCCCCAAACAGCCCCCAGGACTCGAGGTGAGGCCGCCCCAGGTCAGAGCAGGGTTGGACAATCCCCTCCCTGGCCCGGCCGGCGATGCTGGGCCTGATGCCCCCCGGGACAGGGTGGCCCTTTGGGCTGCCAGGACACTCTGCTGACTCAGATCCAACTGGCCACTGACCAGGACCCCCAGGGCCCTTCCCATGGTGCTGTTCCCCAGCCCCTCGTTCCCCAGTTTGTCCCTGCATCCAACACTGCCCGTCCCAGGGGCAGGATCTGGCATTTGCCTTTCTTAAACACCACACAGTTGGGGATTGCCCAGCCCTCACATTTGTCAGGACGTGACAAATGTCCTTGAGGGAGTCAGCAACTCCTCCCAACTTGATGTCCTCAGCAAATCCACTGAGGACCTTCCAGTCCTATAACCAAGTTGCCCCCACCACGGGCACTGCTCTCCCTGCTGGGGCAGCCAGTAATGCCCTCTCTATTTTTAGCCATTTTGCTAAGAAGTAGCTTATGGGTTACATCTTAGGAAAGCTTAGGTGTGCATGAAATCTGAACCAGCACCTCTCTCCTGGGGGTGTGGGGCCCATCCCCACCAGGATTTTATGAACTTGGCTGGTGCATTCCTTTGCTGTTCAGTCACACACAGCAGTGGCACAGGACGCTGGAGATTCAGGGTAACGGTATCTTACCAAAAAAGAACAACATCAGTTATTCACCATCAAAATACACTAAGAATACAAACTTCTTAACCCTTGGAGACAACAGAAAACACGGCCAGACCTTGAAAAGAGGTGTCTCCTGCCCTTCACAGCTCAGCCTGGGTTGCCACAAGCCCGTCCTGGGTGTGAGACCCTGTGGGCACTGGCACACGAACATGCAAGAGCTCAGTGATGCCCTCAGGCACTGGTTTAGAAAATATCTATGGAAACCACTCCCACCTTGGCTATTTTGCCCACCAGACGCATCCTGTGCAGCTCTGGCAGCAGACACTGACTGACCACCAGGTTTTTGCTGCAGCCTCATGTCCGGTTTGGCCACCATGGACTCCAAGGCCTGTGGGAAGATGGGGGTGATCACCATCACCTACTACCTTTGGACAACCTTCCTGGCAGTGACTGTGGGGATCATCCTCGTGGTCAGCATCCACCCTGGGGCAGCTGCCCAGAAGGACAATGACACTGTGGGGAAGGTGGTGCTGAGCTCCGCTGACGCGCTGCTGGATTTGATCAGGTACCTCCCAGGATTTCAGCAGGGGCCAAGTTTATGATGACAAGATCTTCCCAGAAGGCTCCAAGTTCCCAGGAGACATTGAGATCTCCAGGGAAACAGGAGAACTGCTGGCCAGGTGCTGGTACCTCCGAGCCCAGCGCTGTGGGGTTCATTTACCCCACCACACGTCCCTCTGACCACTGTCACTGTCACTGCTCTCCCAAAGCCACCTGCAAACAGGGGAAGGAGCAGAGAACAGACACGTTAACACTCCCTCAAGGCTCAGGGGTTCTCCCCTGCAACTCCAGCAGGGAGATGCCAAGCCTGGAGCTGCCCCAGGGCTGTCTTTAAGCAGCAGGTGGGGATACCTGGGGAGGGGGTGAAGCACCGACCCAGGGGCTGGGGGGGAATCTCCATTTCTAGAGGCATTCCATGGACTGGACCAGGTTCTGAGCATTCTGCTCCAGCTCTGAGGCTTCTGCTACAGGTGGCAGATGTCTGTCCCAGGCTCTGGCTTTCCATGAGTCCCATTTATGAGTGATTCTCAGTCCTGCTCTGTGTTGACCTTCCAGCCTCTCTTTGCCCTCAGCCTGCTGGTGTTGGCTGTAACATCCTCCTCCAGGTCTCCATGCCCACCAGAGGTGCTTCCCAGGGTGCTCCCTGTGCTCTCACAACACACTTTAACCTCCATGTTGTTGCTCTCTTGCAGAAACATGTTTCCTTCTAACCTGGTTGAAGCTTCATTCCAGCAGGTGAGTTCACCTGGCCCCTCTGTGGGCGCCTGGGATGGTGCTCAGCTCCACGTGGGGCTGCCTCTTTCCCCACCCACAGCCCAGACATGAGCCCCTTCTCCCTTCCCCTTCCCTTCCTTTCCTCCTTTTTCCTTCCCTTCCCCTTTCCTCCTTCCCCTCCCCTCTGCCTCCCTCCCCCTCACCCCAGGGAGGGCACCTGAAGGCAGGAGGGTGCTGGGGGAACACAGGCTCACAGGGACCCCTGGGAGGGGAGGGAGGGTCGTGTACAGAAAAAGCAGCTCCCCAGTCCCAGGGGAAGGGGCAGCAGAGGGGCAGGCAGGAGGCACAGGGCAGGCTGGGGTGGGCAAAGGGGACAGGCTGAGGAGGGGGCAGGTAGGGTGGAGGGAGAGGGAAAACAAGCAAACTCATGGCATTGGGAAAGCATCAGTAAAGCCCCCAGGTACAGGGATGGGGGGACCTCTCCCTGGGGACCACAGTTCTCCCCCAGTGCTGTGCTGGGATCCCACAGAGGTCTGCAGAGACCCGACTCACACCACCACGTGTCTGCCCAGCAGCCTTGGCCAGCAGTGGCTGGGCTCTGCAGGGAGCAGCCACAGCTCCTCTTGCCTCTTGCTCCTTATTTCCACCAGCCTTTTACTGCCTGGAAAACAAACTCTGAACCTCCGTGACCGCCAGGGCTGCCTTGCCTCCGTGTTCAGAGCAGGATGGAGCTCACACCAGCAGCACACCACCCTCACTCCTTTGCTTCTCTTCCAGTATCGAACCGTTCTTGTCCCGGTGGTGAAGTCTCCCGGCTCCCCAGAGGTCCCAGGGAAACCTGTCAACTTTATTTACTTCGCACCCGACGACCAAAACCCCGAAATCCACCGGCCCGTGTTCCTGGAGCTGACACCATCCCCCGAGATGACCTACAGGACCCTGGCTGGGACCAGCAACGAGATGAACGTCCTGGGGATCGTCATCTTCTCAGCAACAATAGGTACCTGCTCCTCCAGAGCGGGGCTGCAGCCACCACACTCACCCTGGGGAGAGCTGTGGGAGGAGGTTCTTTAACTGCTCCAGTCCCTGGGAACTGGGCCCAGCACAGAGCTCTGTCCCATCAGTCCCACCCGTGGTGGAGCTCACTGAGGCTGTAGGCACTGGGAAGGCTGTTTTCTCCCCAGATTTCCCATATGAGCTTCCACAGCCCACACGGGGTTCCTGGGGGGTTTCAAACCGTAACATAACCTTTCTTGAGGTGTAATTTTGCAGAGGCTGCCTGGGACACAGCTCATCCCAATGATCCAAACCCTTCATGCTGAGGGTTCAGCCCCCTGAGCAGGCAGGATGTGACAGTGGGGTCAGACTTGTGCTGTCACAAATATATGGGAATTTACAACAGGAGTTTCTGAAGGAGGTAGGGAAGCATTCTGCATTGAGCAGCCTGCAATCCTGTGTGGACAGGGTGCTCAGCAGCAATTTTGAGAAGGAAGATGGACCAGAGGTTGTGGAGAGACACGTGCAAGAGAGAAGGAGGTTTGAAGGGGAGAAAGTCACTGCAAGGAGGAACTTGGAGCTGGCTCAAAGTGACACCAGGTACAAGGCTGAGCAAGAAAGGAGGGAAGGACCAGGAGGAAAAAGAGTAGGAGGCAGTGAGATAAGGATGGGGACAGGATTATGTGTAGATTAAGAGGTGAGGGCAAGGAGCTTGAACTTTGTGTATAAGGAACCAAAAAGCCAATTAGAGGATTTGAGGGGAGGAGGCAGCACAGCCAGCACAGCACTGGAGAGCACTGACTGCGGTCAGAGCCACGGAGAGGGGCCAGTTCTAAAGGCCAGGACACAGAGAGAGCCCCGAGGGGGTGGCCTCAGTGAGGCTGGGCAGAGCCAGATCCCTGCAGACTTTGCCTCTGGCAAACTCCTGTCCCAGCAACCAACTCCTCCTGCAGACCCTGGACGCTCAGGGAAAGTGCTGAGCTCTTGCCTGCAGGACACGTGCCCTCCTACAGCCCTGTCAAACCTGCAAGAAGAAGCTGCTTTTCTCCTCTGGCGTGGGAGTGGGATCAGCCTGAGTTAGGAGGCAGCAGGAGATCACCTGAGCCAGCCCCAGCCACCAGCTGCGCTCCCCATGTTCTGCCCAGGATGGATTAGAGCTCCACGAAGCCACAGACTGGCAGAGCATCACCTGCACTGGGCATGGGTACCTCAGTAAAGGATTCATATACCCACAGGAGGCTTTCCCTGCAAGGAAGGGCCTGGCAGAAAACAGGAGAGGGACAGGGAAGGCACCACAGCCCCATGGAGTGGGGAGGGCACTCGGCTTGTTCAGTGGGGACAGCTTGGGAAACAGGATCACCTCCTCCATGCAAGGGGGGGAGGCCAGGTGGGAACTGGCTGAGGCCTCAGCAAAGGGTATTTTTGTGTGAGAGCAAAATTAGGCAGTTTGTGTGCCTGAGAGCAAAGCACCCACAGAGCACCTGCTGGGTACCAGAGTGACTTTGCTCTGACATCCCTCCACTGTCACTGAGAGCCTCAGTCCTTTTGAAATCCAGAAAAGAGCAGAGATTTCAAGCTCCTTGCAGGAAGCTGTCTGTTTGCTACGGACATGTCTCCCAAATCAGTTCTGTAGGATCTGAAGAGCAATGACTTTTGTGCAAAGCAGCTTTTGTGGCCATCAAATACCAGATGAATACCCACAGAGCTGAGATTTAAACGTGCCAAGCCTTGTCTCATTTCTGAAAGTCCTGGCAAAGGTGACTCCATCTCATCTCTCTTCTGAGCAAGGCAAGAGATTCCACCACCCACCAAGGGCCTCTGAGGACTGAGGAGGGATGAGTGGGACAAGATCCTGTCTATATTCTTCTTTTCCAAGCTAAAGCAGATGCCTGTACAGTGCTTCAAAATTAATTTTAGCCAATACAAGGAGGCCGTGCTGTGGGCTGGAAACAATATGGAAAAATGCTCAAAGCCTCCTCCTTCCTTTGCTCAGTGGGTTCCTGGGAAAGCTCCCAGCCAGTGAAACCAATGGGATTTAACACTGGCAAGCCAGACAGCACCATTACCCCTCCTAACCATTCCTGTATTTCTGCTCTAGTATTCCTTCAACAGAAAATCAGGCTGGATTACGTTAATGCAACAACATCAAAAGGAAAAAACAGACTTAAGAGAGGAGGCTTAATGGCTGTATCCAAGCAACTCAGTCAGATCCTTCCTGACGTATCACTGCACAGCCCCATGTGTTGTCACCAGCAGGGAACAGCCTGTGAGCCACCAGCAGGGTGAGGAACAGCCCTGCCCAGGGGGGGACTGAGAGAGCCACTGCCCCCAGGACCAGACCCTGAGCACTGCTGGAGTGATCCGAGTGGCACATCCTGAGCAAGGGCAGGGCTGCAGCACAGCACCACATCCTCAGCTACAGAGAACCCCACCAGGCTCTGTCCTGCAAAAAAAAAATCCATTTCTGCTCCCGGAGCTCATTATTCTTGTATTACCAAACAGCAGTCCAGCCATCCACCTAATCCAGCTGATCCCCAGTTTATCCACCTCGGGAAGTGACTCTTCCAGCCCTGAGCAGCACTGAAGTTTAGCTGTTTTCTGTGCAAGGAACAGTCCAAATCCTGGCCCTGGGTCTGGTGGGGTTTTGTGAGAGAAGGCAGATGTGTTTGCTTGGGGCAGGGAAGGGCCGTGACTCGCGAGAGCTCGTGGCAATCTGTGCTGAGTGTCAGCTTGCCCAGTGCCCCCCGTTCTGTGGCCACCAGAGCCTCCAGACACCCAGCCCGACACGTGCTGCTCCCATGCTGCTCCTGAGTAACGTAACCCACTGTGTTTGGTTGCAGGACTCCTCCTGGGGAAAATGGGCGAGCGAGGAGCCCCCCTGGTTAACGTGTGCCAGTGCCTGAACGAAGCAGTTATGAAAATTGTCTCGATGGCCGTTTGGTAAATCTGGTTTCCATTGATTTCAGTTGATTGCCTTTCCTGCTGTCTGATGGCACTGCTGGTCACACCTCTGTGTGTATCTGTTGTGAGCACTGGATTTGTTTTCGTGCAGCTGCACCACACGGTACCAAACACTGCAGTGCCTGTCGTGCAGTGCTTCAGGCACTGCTGCACCCTCAGGAATTATTTTTTTATTCTTATTCTTTGCAGGTACTTCCCCTTTGGCATTGTGTTTCTCATTGCTGGAAAGATCCTGGAGATGGAAGATCCATCAGTTATAGGACAGAAGCTGGGACTGTATGTCATTACAGTGGTGTCAGGGCTTGCCGTGCACGGACTCGTCATTTTACCTCTGCTTTTTGTGCTCATAACTAAGAAAAACCCCTTTGCTTTCATTCAGGGGATCCTGCAAGCCTTGCTGATCGCCTTAGCTACATCCTCCAGGTAGGAAAACGTGGCTGAAACCTGCCAATGCCACTGAGCAGTAAGCTGGTTTAGCAAGGGAGGCGTGGCTGTGTATGGCCAGGTGAGCTGTACAGGAGGACTGGTGTTAACTTAAAGGAAAATTATGCTCCAGCACTATTTGAAATGCAAGTGCTCCTGGTTTTCAAGGGAAGCAGATTCTTGGCCCTGCCCTGGCCTCAGTATATCTGGAGATCAGGGCAGCTCACGGTGCCATTCACCCTCTCTGGGGTTTTCCCAGACCAAACCAGCAATGTTTCTCTGTGTGTGTGTGTGTGTGTCTGTGCTTCTTTTAAATGCTGCAGCAGTTTTCTTTCCATGAATTCAAACTAGAACTGCTGTAGGTGCTTTATAAAAACACATGGGTTTATGATCCTGGGGTTTAACTGAAAACATCAAAAGCTCTTCTGAACGCTTTTCTGACAATCTAAAATGAACTCCCTATGTCTCAAATTCCTCCACAGAAAAATGTTGTCTACTTTGAAAAGATTTTATAATTTTACATTATATTCATCTACTGTATTTTCATTGAAAAACATTCTTTATAACAATGAAGAAACTTTACACTACAAACTACCATCCTTTCTGGATGACACACAAGTTCAAACATTTTCCTAGAAAACATCTGACCAGGCAAAGAGGCAAAGGGTTTTTCTGGCCTCCCTGTTGCTTCTTGACATGATCCCAATAAAGCCACCTAGACAGTGACTCCCTTCCAAGCCCCCACTGCTGCAGGTGCTTCTGCAACTCTTAATGACCTGCCCTCCTCCTGAACCTGTGTCTCCAGCTCTGTCTCCATCAGGCTTCCTCCTCCCTCTGCTCTGCAGCCAGCTAAGTGAGCTGGAGAGGTGGCACACAGGGATGGAGGGAACACCCTGCTCCTTGTCCCAGCCCCATGGTCTGTGCCTGGGGGTCACTGTGCTGTGCTCTGCATCCAGCTCCTTTCCCAAAAGCAGTCCCGTCCTCCCAGAGTCTGTCGTGATCCCATCAACTTCTCTTCTGGGGTCTCCTTTCTTCCACTTGTTCTTTCTTCTCCGTGTCCTCATCCTGGCTCCCGTGGGACAGCTCAGGTCCTCCTGCCAGAAAGAAACAAGAGAGAGTTCAGGGGGTGCAGGAGCCAAGACAGCTGCCCCTCGTGCCCACGGCACAGGGGAGAGAGACAAGGACCACGGGGGTCAGGCTGGAGCCTGGCATGGCCAGTGCTGTCCCCCACTGTCCCACGCTCCAGGAGGTGCTGCAGGATTAATGTGGGGGCCAGGGATGCACAACAGAGCTGCAGCCACGGCACAGAGTTGGTCAGAGTGGCACCTGCAGCCACTGAAACGACATTCTGACACTTTCTCTCGCAGCCTGCAGCTCCCTCAGCCAATGGTGTCCCTTCCTCGGGTGGTGCGAGCTGAAGAGGCTCTCACGGCTGCAGCCATTTGTGTTACGGTGCCGCCTCACCCCACGCAAGCAGCAGAGGCAATCACTGATCATTTCTTGTCCTGCAGCTCAGCCACCCTGCCCATCACCCTCAAGTGTCTCCTGGAGAACAACGGCATCGACAGGCGCGTGGCGCGGTTCGTGCTCCCCGTCGGTGCCACCATCAACATGGACGGCACCGCCCTCTACGAGGCCGTGGCTGCCATCTTCATCGCCCAGGTCAACGAGTATGAACTGGATCTGGGACAAATTATAACCATAAGGTAAAGGTTTCTTGGCAGCAGCCGAATTATTTCTCCCTGTTCCCATTTACGGGCCTTAGGACAACCTCTCACGCGCTTTTCCCGTTCGCAGAGGTCTTGTCAGTGCACAGAGTGAACTTTTCTGGGAAGCTGAGGAGCAGGGAAAGGGGCAGCGTGTTGCAGGCCCTGCATCATGTGCCAGGGAATGCTGGGCTGGGCTCTGCACCCAGAATCTGCTGCAGGTCAAGGACTTTGCCTGTAGGGAAAAGCCCAGTTGTACAGACAGGACGGCTGGAGCAGGTCAGCACTGCAAGACCTGAGCACAGGAGGGTTTCTGCAGGTGCCATTTACTCCCCTTCAGGAATGGGATATCTGCATTCCATAAGCAAGGAAATAAAGCACCTAAATAGATAATAATAATTAAGTACAGTTGCAAATATTTAGCAGTTTTAAGCAGGGGCTCCCTCCCCTTGAAGGCAGAGGGGAGCTGTGCAAGCACAGAGCCAGGACACCAGCTACCAGCCCCTGCTGTGCACAGGCAGGGGGGTTCGGGATGGCAGCAGCCAGGAGCAGGAAGGTGGAGGGAGCCAGATCCAAGCCAGCCCTTCCACAGAGGAACAACTCACTTTTCCACGCTCGTGTGAACTGCGCAGCCCCTTCTCGTTGCAGCATCACGGCCTCGGCCGCCAGCATCGGCGCCGCCGGCATCCCGCAGTCCGGGCTCGTCACCATGGTCATCGTGCTCACCTCGGTGGGGCTCCCGACCGAGGACATCACCCTCATCATCGCCGTCGACTGGGCTCTGTAAGTGCTCTCCTTAGGACCTGCTACGGGTTCCGGGTTCGTGGTGACGTATCTTCCTCTTGGTGGATGAAACCAGACTGATCTCGAGACAGAAACTGGATTACACTTGTCACAAACAGAACACACACCTTGTGAAATCACAGAATCACAGAATCAACTGCGTTGGAAAAGACCTCTGAGATCATCAAGTCCAACCCTTGATCCAACCCCGCTGTGTTTCCCAGCCCATGGCACTGATGCCACATCCAGTCTGTCCTTAAACACCTCCAGGGACAGTGACTCCACCACCTCCCTGGGCAGCCCATTCCAATGGCTGAGCACTCTCTCTGTAAAGAATTTCTTCCTAATATCCAACCTAAACCTCCCCTGGCACAGCTTTAGACCGAGCCCTCTTGTCCTACTGCTGGTTGCCTGGGAGAAGAGCCTGACCCCCCAGCTCCCCCCTCCTGTCAGGGAGTTGCAGAGAGTGAGGAGGTCTCCCCTGAGCCTCCTCTTCTCCAGGCTGAACAGCCCCAGCTCCCTCAGCCTCTCCTCACAGCACTTGTGCCTCAGTCCCTTCTCCAGCCTCGTTGCTCTCCTTCTGCCGCTGCTCCAGCTCCCTTCCATGTCCTTCCTGAGCTGAGGGCCCAGAACTGGACACAGCACTCCAGGGGTGGCCTCACCAGTGCTGAGTCCAGGGGCAGAATCACTTCCTTGGACCTGTTGGCCACACTGTTCCTGATCCAAGCCAGGATCCATTGGCCTTCTTGTCCCCCTGGGCACACTCTGGCTCCTGTTCAGCTCCCTGTCCATCCCCACTCCCAGCTCCCTTCATGCCTGGCTGGCCTCCAGCCACTCTGTGCCCAGCCCGTGGGGCTGCCAGGGCTTGTTGTGGCCAAAGGGCAGGACCCGGCACTTGGCCTGGTTGAACCTCATCCCCTTGGAATCAGCCCAACTCTCCAGCTTGTCCAGGTCCCTCTGCAGCCTTCCAGCAGATCAACACTCCCCCTCCAACTTGGTGTCATCTGCAAATTTGCTGATGGTACACTCAATCCCCTCATCCAGATCATCAGTAAGGACATTAAACAGAACTGGGCCCAACGCTGATCTCTGGGGGACACCACTAGTGAGCAGCCACCAACTGGATGCAGCACCGTTTAAAATGTCCCATTTTAAAGTACTAAGATAAAAGCAAAGCAAATCATTAGGTGAGAAACCACACCGAGCTGACGTGTGGGTGGCTGGTTTGTACTTCACAGCCCCCCTGGGCAGAGAGGGAACAGTGCCTTTCTTTCACTTAAAGGAAGGGTAACACAACACCAGTCCAGCCTTTCAGCATCCCAGGGTACCCACCACCATCACCTGTGATCTACTCACGTGAGAGGTGCCTGGGTAAACAAGTGCTGTGGTTGGATCTACAGGATTTTCTCCCTGAGAGGCATTTCAAGGAGGTAGCTCACCCCCACACTGAGCACAGACGATGCCAATGCCCCAGTCTGGGAGGTGGCACAGGCAGGTCCCTGCACTGAACACGTGCCAGAGTGAGGCAGTCACAGCACGGGGCTCACAGAGACATCACAGCGACTGTTTTCTCTCTGCATCTGCAAAACCATCACAGCCCTCGGCTCACCTTGCCATTAGCAACACCAGTGGGACACCCGGGATGGGGGCTGAGAGGTTCCAAAGCCACCACCCCCTTGGGCACGATGGCTGTGGCCACCCCCTGCCCCCTCACTGTGTCTCTCCCCAGGGACCGGCTGCGGACGATGACCAACGTCCTGGGGGACGCCCTGGCCGCCGGGATCATCGCGCACGTCTGCGAGAAGGACTTTGCCCCAAAGCCCCCCCCGGTACGTCCGAGGGGCTGGGAGGGCAGGGGAATTCAGGACAGACACAGGGCACGGGCTCCCTCCAGAAATTAAAACTGTGCTTTTTCTTCTTGCAGCAGAAGCCAGTGAACAACATAGACAAGCTTCCCTCCACAGAGACCTCACACCCGCATCCCAAAGGCAACGTGATTGAAATGATGGAAGAAACCCTGGTGGATCCGACAGGAGTTCACTACAGCATCTGCCAGGTGTAGCTGACGGCGTTCCTGCTCCCAGGAATGCATCTTGGTGCTAAACACTGACATTGTGAGTGTCGTACGTGGATGCTCTGCAAGATAAAGGCCTTACTTGGCACAAAAAGTGGGAAAATCCTCTCTATCCTTCGAAGACTCTGGGACTCTCTGGCAGGCACCCAAGGGGCAGGGAACCAGATCCTCCCTGCGCCTGAGGACACAGCTGGCAGCTCGCCAGCCTGTCTGAAACGGATGGGTTTGAAGGTTTAATAACTCCCATTTTCCCAGTTCAGCTGTTTTTGAAGGTTAGGGAGGTGACCAGGTGTTAGCAGACTGGATTTGGTAAGAATGCAGCAGGGATGGGACACAACTCTGATCCCTCTAGGCCAGCAGCTCCTTCCCTGCAGGTCAGGCTGTGCTCCAGAAGCTTTTGTTTTCCTTATAATAGAGATTATTTTTTTAAATCATTGCTTTTTATTTTATTACTGTGTTCTCCTCTAAAAACTAAGATTAAGTGAATTTTTGTCTAGAGCTGAAAATCCAGGTTGGATGTAACTGGATTTCCCAGCTGTCAGGTTACACACAGCATGGCTGAGCTGCTCCACTCTCAGCAGGAACAGTGGGATGCACTGGCTGCAGGGATGGAAGGACCAGCTGTAAGCTGTTCCTGTGGCTGTTTTATTCCAGTGAACTAACTGACTGGGCCCAATTGCAGTCATGTTGATTTTCCCAGCTAAGGATCTGTCCCTAAGCTCAAATTCCAATTACAGCCTTAAAATCTAGGCTTCCCAGGGCAGCCTTCTCCACAAAAGCCTTTTATACCAATGATTCATGTAACTGAATTAATTTCTCTCTCAAAATGCCATCTCATCCCTTTTCTCCCTCTTGGTCTTTCCTGCCACAGCGTTAGGACTTGTAACACAGCTCAGACCCCCCCTCACATCATTGAACTGTTCTCCAACCATACATAAAGAAAACACTTTCTGTGCAGAATTCTTTCATGCTGGAGTCAGAGGTTGTAAAATATTTTCTAATTTAGAAGAAATATTCATTCCAGTTTTGCCAAACGAAAAGCAGAAGTCATTAAATATCATAAACCAGCTTTTGCACAAGAACTAGTCATCTTCAATTAACTTCCAAAAGCCTTCCAAGAACCAGAATCCTGGGCAAGGTAAGCTTGAGGCACTGCTGTTAACTTTGGCCTTTCTCACCCTTTCCTCCTTGGTGAGGTTATTTATACCTTTTTAAACAATACAGCCCAACTCCTCCTCAACAGGAGCAGCCACATCATTTGCAAACCAAAATAATCACATTTCAAATCAAGCTCTGCAGCTTCCCCAGTCATCCCTCCCTCCCTCCCTCCTTTCCCATTTGTGATCACCTGGATGCATCACACACTGGTTCAGCTCCAGTGGCTCTGAGGGGTTTTGTGGTTGTTCTTTTACACCTGGAGCAAGCTCAGGCACCCCCAAAACCCCCGAGGAGGCTCCAGGCAGCTCCAGCTCCAGGACAGAGCACCACATCTGTCTGCACCAGCTGCCCACATCCCCCCCAGACACAGCTGGACAAACACTCCCAAAGCACCTGCTCCAAGGCAGTAATTTAAAACAGGCAAAGATTAAAAAGATGATTTATAAGACCTTCCTGTTGCAGTCACTGGTGCCTGGGAGTGCTCACGTCCCTTGCTGGCTGCTCCAGGTGAGCCCAAGCCAACCAGCACAGGTACCTGCACAGGCAGCCAAGATGAGCCCCACTCTCACCTCCATTCCCCCCTCATTAACGAGCTCTGGACATTACAGCACACAATTAACCCTGCAATAAAAGGCAGGACTGGATGTCCATGGCAGAGGTCCTGGCTGAGTGCTGGGGCTGCAGGATGAGCCTCTGGCAGTCCCGTGACAGGGCTCTGTGCCCTCCAGCACACCCAGCTTTTCCCTCACCCTCAGAGGCTGCAATCCTACTAAAACAACTTAAACAGCACATCCCCAAGCCCACTGCAATAAAGAACAAACTATTACTAAAAAACCTGAATATTACATCTAGTAATAAATCTAGAGCTGGTGAAGCCAACCCCACTCTGCACAGATGGCCCCAGGAGCTGCAGGCCTTGTGGTTTATGAGTCACAGAATGGTTTGGGTTGGAAGGGACCTTAAAGCTCATCTTTTTCCACCTCCCTGCCACAGGCAGGGACACCTTCCATTAGACCAGGTTGCTCCAAGCCATGTCCAACTTGGCCTTGAAAGGGTTAGTAATATCTCCCAGTATCTGGCAAGATAAATTTTAACAGAGAAGTTTTGATTTGGGCAATCAGCAGGAAGGATGTTGGTGCTAGTAAGGTTAAAATAAAGTGTCTTGTCAGAGCTAATACAGCCTCATACCTTGTGACAAACACAGCAAGGGAGAGCTTTAACCACCCAGCAGCCTCAAAACTGAGCTGTCATCGCTGTGCCACTCTAACAGGATAAAACAAGGGGAAAAATAATTCAAACACGTCTGAATGTCTGTTTGTGCTCGAGCACAGAGGGATGCCATCATTATTGATGGGAAAAAGCCTAAGGCAGAAAAAGGCAATCCATCTCCACACACACAGGCACAGGAGAGACACCTGAACAGCTTTAACAGGGGAAAGAAATCGTGGCAAAGTGAATGAGCAGTGTCACGGCCCCAAGGCTGCCAGAGCTCCAGGAATGTTTGGACAACGCTCTGAGGGACAGGGTGGGATTGTTGGGGTGTCTGTGCAGGGCCAGGGGTTAAGACTTGATGGTCTTAGGGGTCCATTCCAACTCAAGGACCATCAGGACATTCTGTGATTCTATGATTAAATCCTATGGACTGATACACTGCACCTTCAAAGTATTTAAACTATTTTCCCAGATACCTGTAAGAAAAAGAGGTGCCTCCCTCTGTTCCAGCACTGGAAACCTAATTCAGTTTATTTCCATTGGAAACGTACAGGCAGGGCAAGGGACACACCCAACAGCACAGAAAGCTGGTGTACAGAAAGAACATAAGCTCCAAACATACATTTCTTCCTTGGAAATCCTTTTTTTCCCCCCTTACAAACAAAAAATCTCAGCTGCCTGGTAATACAGGTGATTCCCAGCTTATGGCTGGTGTGTATAATATTGTAATAAAATTGGGGGAAGGACTCTGGCTGTTAAACTGTTATTTCACTGAGGAAAAAAAGTCACAGAAAGCTGTTCTGGTGAAGTAAAATCCCTGTGAAAGGTATTTATGGGGTTTGTGGTTATTAAGAAAAAGTCAAAGCAGCCCTTGGTTTTGGGGCACCTCCCAAACACGGGCAGAAAACCCACCTACTGGCCCCATGAGCTTTGATCAGGGAATGACATTTCCACAGTGGTTTTGGGGAATCTGAGGATGTGATTGAGCATCAACACTAAGCTTAAATGACTTTGCACTGGACTGAATGACTGGAGTGTAAACTTTACACACGAGACACCAGCTTGTTCCTACAGCCCATGGATAAGTTGCCTTGATCCCACAGGATGGTTCTTTTCTGAGCATCAGTTGTGTTCCAGAGCACAAATTATGGTTACATATCTGAATTTATAAAAATGATGAGTTTTGATCACTTTTTGCATCTTTCTAGGATGTACAGATGGAGTTGGAAGGGCACAGACAGCAGTGTGCTGCTGCCATCCCTCCTTTGGATCAAAACATACCTCTGTTTGTGTTTTACTGAAACTGAAAAAAAAATAGCAAAATAACTCAATGCTGAGGGCGTGGCAAAGTTCAATCCAAACAACCAGCCCAAAAAACCAGATGTGAAAACCAGCCCAAACCTCCTATTTTTTAATTTAAAATACTACCCGTTTCAAAATTACCCTGTGCAGGTTTTCTAGAATAATTTTCAAAATTCCATTCCATGAGAAGTTTTGAAAGTCTTTATTTAAAATCTACTAAAATACCAAGTTTCTCTGTAAAACCAAGATTTCTAAAGCAGTTTTAAGTGATGCATATACCTATTTTTTTCCAGCATGTAACCTACACTAAATGCTCCTTTAAGGAGTGAATGCCTCCCTAGGGATGTGCTCTGGGAGTTTTGTACCTCCATCTCTTCCCTTCTGATTCACTCCACATATTTGTTTCCATAAGGAATCTCTCAATTTCTTCTGATGTGATAACAAAACTTTCTGGAAAATCTGATTAAAGTATTTCAGCCTTTCCTACAGGCAGGTGCAGCTCAGCACATCACACACCACAGCCACACCCCCAGGTAAATCAGCAGATCCTCCTCCAGACACAGCAATGCCCATGTTCATGGTAACACTCACAAACTGTTTCACAGCAAAAGTTCAAATCTACCTCATAAATTCTTTATGAAGTGTTCCAATGCAGAGAATCACAGAATGGTTTGGCTTAGAAAGAACCTTAAAGCTCATCCAGTTCCACCCCCTGCCATGGGCAGGGACACCTTCCACTAGCCCAGGTTGCTCCAAGCCCTGTCCAACCTGGCCTTGGACACTTCCAGGGATGGGGCAGCCACAGCTGCTCTGGGCAACCTGTGCCAGGGCCTCCCCACCCTCTCAGGGGAGAATCTCTTCCCCATATCCCACCTAACCCTGCCCTCTGTCACTGGGAAGCCATTCCCTCTTGTCCTGTCACTCCAGGTCCTTGTCCAAAGACCATCTCCAGGTCTTTTGTAGGCTTCCTAGAAGTTGCATCAGCACCTCTGCTGGGCCCCCAGGGCTGGTGTTCAGATCCCCCCCACCCCACAGAGCCCATCAGCCCTTGGCCACGCAGAGCACACGGGGCAGAGGTGCCCTAGGGACTCGTTACCTTGGGCTCTCACCAGCCTGGGCACTCCTGCAGCGTGCTGCCCCTCACCATGATGGACATTCTCCAGCTGCAAACTTCCCAGATTTCTTCCAACTCCTCAACATAGCATCCCTGGGTAAGGTGCTCTGAAATCCATGTCAGGAGGAGCCAGACCTGTGCAGGTGCAGAGGTCTTGACACCCAGGCGTGCAACGTGCACTTACCTTTATTTTCCAGAAGGAATGTAGCTCATTTAAACTACACAGATGAAGTGCCCTGCAGCCAACAGGGAGAGCCAGGCACCTTTCTGAGCAGTACATCTCAGACTGTGGGAGGAGATGTCTTCAGAAGGCTCTTACTGATGGGTTTGGACTGGATGCTAGGATTTTTAATAACTTGAGTCAGTAGGATGAATCCCATCCTAAATTACAATTCTGAGCAAAGATACCTATTTTTAGAATCCTGAGCCTTCAAACTCTGTAAGGCCAGATTTTGGCTTTCACTCTGAGACATGGACTTAC